TTACACACACACACACACATACACTTGTATGTATAAAAACGTAAGGTTTTATCATACTCCTCACAAGGAGTACATAACGGTAGTCACTTTCCGAAGATCCACGTAGATATATGTGTACACATCAATGAAACACTGTACATATGCGTGTGCTTTGTGCTTTATAGAGATATCTACACAACAAGCAAGTGTGTATACGTATGCACATATTTGTATATACGTATTCACTTATGTGTATTTACCTATGTACATATGTGCATGTTCGCTATGACACCCAACAAGCAAGTAAATGTACGTACATACATGCAACACCACACGCAAAACCAAGCCTTTACTTGCTTGTGCGATTAGCAATTATGTTTCGTCCAAAGTATATGCACGATAGTAACGTCTGCAAACATTACTGTGTCGCAATGGCCACACAGACACACTTTCTATTTATAGCCTAGACATTCTATTTATAGCCTAGACATTCTATTTATAGACTGGGCATTCTACTTATAGCCTAGACATTCTATTTATAGCCTAGACATTCGATTTATGGCCTAGACATTCTATTTGTAACTAGACATTCTATTTCTAGCCTAGACATTCTATTATAGCCTAGACATTCTATTTATAGCCTAGACATTCTATTATAGCCTGGGCATTCTATCGATGGCCTAGACATTCTATTTATAGCCTAGCTAGTCTATTTATAGCCTGGGTATTCTATTTATAGCCTAGACATTCTATTATAGCCTGGGCATTCAATTGATAGCCTAGACATTCTATATATAGCCTAGATAGTCTAATTATAGCCTAGACATTCTATTTATAGCCTAGATAGTCTATTTATAGCCTAGACATTCTATTTATAGCCTAGACATTCAATTACAGCCTAGACATTCCATTATAGCCTGGGCATTCTATTGATAGCCTAGACACTCTATTTATGGTCTAGATAGTCTATTTATAGCCTAGACATTCTATTGATAGCCTAGATATTCTATTTATAGCCTAGATAGTCTATTTATAGCCTGGGCATTCTATTGATAGCCTAGACATTATACTTATAGCCTAGACATTCTATTTAAAGCCTAGATAGTCTATTTATAGCCTGGGGAGACACCTACCTTCATGCGCCGCCCACGTGTCCAATGCAGACAGGAGGTGCTGTGAGACGCCCACGCGTGTGTGAGGTGTAGTGAGTAGGCAGTCACACAGTTCAGTGCCTGTCATGCCGTTCTCTCGCTGCAGACGCTGTGCCAGCGCAGGCCCTTCCGAGTGATCGCACACGGCGCGAGGTTGCATCTGTGCACATGCAACAAGTGTGTGTATGTTTGTTTTGTGAATATGATCACATCTGTGCACATGCAACGAGTGTGTGTATGTTTGTTTTGTGAATATGATCACATCTCTGTATATGCAACGATGTGCAAAAGTATATGGCCGAGAAAAGCTTTACCCACACTTCAAGCCAAAGAACATAAAACTATCAACCGGATTTATGCATGATATAAACCAGGATTATACCATGATATACGACACAGAAATCGTACTGCACACTTCACCCGAGATACATAAAAAGGTCAAAATATTAATACGTAATTGGCCACAGCACATTTACAGAACAATAAACCCTACAACAGACGAAAGCTGAAGTTCGCACGCGACAAACCCATAGACTTTATTTGTACCTGTAGGTATAATGATAAACTTAAAACACACACCTGTATAGATTTATATATACATGTAGATACAATGACAGATCTATACACACACCTATATAGATTTATATACACAATGATAAATCCATACACACCTAAATAGACTTATATGTACATGTAGATATGATGATAAAATCTACATATGCATAACCATTTAGACTTAAATGTACATGTCCGTACAATGATAAATCTATACACACACACACCCATATCGATTTGTATGTGTATGTACATATCATTTCGACCCCCCCCCCACCCCCCACAAAACCGGTTCGCTTGAGCAGTGGGCCAGGTGCAGGTGCAGGTGCATACCGTCTGTGGGACTGTCAGGGCTCTTCGCAGTTCGGCTGTGCCGTGAGTGATCAGTCGCTGTCGCTGATGCGCTGAAGGGAAGCGCATCTGCTGCCCACCCATGAACACAGCACACGCACCCAAGAATGAGTCATCACGCATCACACTGCTGTCCTCATCCTGCGACGGTTGGGGTGGAGTTAGGGTTTAGGATTTAGATGTTTATTGTATGCAGGTTTAGGCTTTAAGGATTTTAGGGCTCAGGGCAATAGAGTTCTAGGAGTTTGGGTTTTTAGGGGATCTGGATGTGAAGGGAAGGAAAGGAGGGCGGAAGTACGGAGACAAGGACCGGTACAATAAATACAAGACAAGCACATGTACAAGGAAAACGAGACAAGGGCCAGTGCAAAATAAAGTATGGGATAAGAGTGCAAAGGGGTGCGAGCATTGTTTGTACGCGTGTGAGTGGGCTTAGGTCAAGAAATATACGTCGGATCAAGGTTTAGCTCATGACTTTTAAGGATTATTTCATGACTTTTAAGGTTTACCTCTTGACTTTTAAGGTTAATCCCTTGAATTTTAAAAGATATTACTTTTAAGGAATTAAGGTTTCAGGTTTTGAGATTTTAAGGTTATAAGGTTTAAAGAGTTTGAGGGGTTCAGGCTAACCCACAGAGACAAACAGACACGGAAAGAGACAGGGGAGGTCACACACTACCACTAACACAACAATTCATCATAACATACGCAATAACCACTTGGCATGACACAAACAGTGCAGACAACACATACGAAACCACCGGTGCAGGTATCATGCTACTAATAACTATGGTACAGATGAGATATAAGTATAGATATTCCCCCCATTACCACCCACTCCATCCACCCACTCACTCACTCCACACACAC